AACTGCAAAGGATCTACAAAGCACTACAACCTGCTCAGCCAAACTCTACAGTGCAGTGTGTCAGAAACATCCTTCCTGCAATGAGCAGAAAAAAGCAAGAGGTGAACATCTGTCATCCCCTTCCTCATGGGAGAAGGCTGACAGACCACTGGCCAATCGTCCAACAGATACAGCATCTTCATATGTAACTTTTCATTCTCCAAATGTCAACAGCAATCACGGAAACAGCAGACATCCATCACCAATAACCAATTACTGCAAAAGGTCTCCTAAAAGCTTCATTCACAAGCCCTATTTTCCTCAGTAGAGAAATGTCGTTCCAGATTGATTGTCACAAAAGGCAACATAAGCATCAAAACATTTGTTTTCTTGAGAAATATGAAGATACTTTGTCATATCATGGTGCCAAAGTCTCACAGATTTCCTCTCACCTCTGCAAACATAGGGCTACCAGGCAAAATTAGAAGGCTGCCATTGAACCACTGCATTGACTGAGATTGACTCTGACTAATAAAGCAATAATGACACTGTGCGCTCAGCTACTTAAATGTTCCCCAGATAGAGCCAGACCAAAGTTCTCCACAACATAAAGGTTGGATTCTCTATTGTAAAACCGGATTCCTCTCTATGAATGGAAGAAGTCTTGTTAGAAAATAAAAAGGAAGCAAACCTATCAGCAAGGAAATTTTATTCTTCAAACATCGGGAAATACCCGCTTAGACTTCCAAGCAGAGGCTGGATCCTCTGGAGGAGCTGAACTCATCATCTTCAGTGTGTAAAAAAATCACGATCATCCACTGTGCTGGTAATGGGAAAGCCACCTGCCTGCATCGTCACCTCAGTGGCAGTCAGGCTTCTACAACTACTGAAACACACTCAGCAGGCATGTGTGATGTACAAACCTCATGGAGCTCCCCCTCAGGCATTTCTAGGTGTTGCTTCTCTCAATAGCCATTATAGTTGTCAGCAAACCAGCCCAAAACCCCAGTGAACACAAAACCTGTCAATGTGGTCATCCATCTCCAGTGTTCTGCAGGAATGAAGTGGGATCCATATCTCTTTTCCGGATTTTTCTACTGAGACCTTCATTGGAATCTATCTATTTACACACTTTATTGCTTTCTTCACAATCTTTGTCTATCCAGAAGATATTCTAAGCCATGGATATTTCAGGGTGCTTTGATACTGTCATGGCAGTGCAAAGTCTTTAGTCTTTTCATATTTTTGCTCCTGTCTTTACAGTTCTGAAGAGCCAAGTCATCCCTTCTCAGAATTTCAGAAGGGATTACATTACAAGCATAACCATTGTATGATACTGACTGTTGGAAATTGCGCTTGAAACATTGAAATTTGTTCTCCTGAACTGCAATTTGTATCCTCTCCTAGCTTTCAAAGCATTCATGCTGTAATCCAGATTTGGAAATCCAGAAACACAACATGTTAAAAACTATTTCCCTGATTTGATGGCAAGATCAGACATTGGTTGATACGTCAGTCAGTATGGAGATTCAGGAGACTCTGATGCTCTCTGTACCCATCTCGAGGTGGTATGTTCTTTGCAAATAGTCACTAGTAAGCCTCACTCCCACCTATTCGGTGGTTGAGCAGAATTAGCAGGAATACAGTACTATCAGTTACCTTATTCACTGCTGTGATCTCTTAGATTTTAAGTATCTCCATTGAACAAGCCTTATTTCCCATAGACTTCCTTACTTGGGATCCTGAATTCATGATGGCATAAGCCATGTCTTCCACTTTTGTGCCTGTAGGGGCTTTAAGGATGCACACAGGTCAGCAGCATCTCAAGCAGTGTGTCTCTTGGACATGTTGGTGCTCTAGTACACCAACAGGTGTATCCATACATGCCAGCAACAACATTCTGAGGAGGTTTTCAAACATGCTTCAGGGATCCTTTACCCTACTGAATCTTTACTTTGGCTCCTAGAACCTGCTTTTCTCTTTCTTGACCTCTTCTGCTCCTTAGCATCTCTGTTACCTTTTTAAACATGTTGACATCAAGGAGAAAAAAGGAAAAAAAAAAAAGAAAAAAAAAAAAGAAAAAAAAAAAAGAAAAAAAAAAAAGAAAAAAAAAAAAGAAAAAAAAAAAAGAAAAAAAAAAAAGAAAAAAAAAAAAGAAAAAAAAAAAAGAAAAAAAAAAAAGTAAAAAAAAAAGTTGTCCAAGCAGATTCATTGGACTCGTTCCCATGAATGTCTTTACACAGACACATCCTGCCTCAGATGTTTCTCTTCCCACTCTTAGCCTGTGGATTCCCTTCTACCTCACTCTTCCTATGCCCTGAGTTTGTTTGTGATTTATACTTCAGGTCCCTTTTCTCTATGATGGAAATTGTGCAGATGATCCTGTCTTGCCTGATCTGGCTATTATTGTTGTTGCCTTTTCTCACTCAGTTATGTCTGTGCTACTTGTGCCCCAAATTACAAGAGCAGGGTATAATACTAGAAGTTCCTTTGTAGGTTAAACCACGGGTAGGGGAAGAGATGAATGCAAGTAAAACACAACCAAAGCTGCCCTCTGTTAGGTCGCGTAGCTTCTCCAAATCTCCCTCAAAGGCATTAAGCAGATGAGGATTTGCTTTTGTATATTGTTCTGAGATTTGTACTACTGCCCACTTTAGATGACCATTAGGCACTCTAATTCCCAATACCCATCACCATGCCTCCAGCCTTGTGAACTGATGTGACTACGTTCTCAGGTGTCAGGTACCTGTCCTTGTCCTGAAGTCGGCATCCCCACATCCCTTACAAGGCTCAAGATTCTCAGAAAATCTGGCACTAGCTCTCTCAGCTTCATAGTTAGGAATGGCCACACTTGAAAGTCCCAGCAACAGGTTCTCCAATATCTGTGCTCAGATCCATATGGTGACCTTCTGGTGGAAAATGGTAGGATTTAGCTCCTTTCTAAGACTTCTGTGGATATCAGAAAATGTATTCAGCAGCCTGGAGCTGGGAGTTCATTTCCCCCTAATATACTCATACAAAAAATACTGCACACCCAGTATCAGGAACCTCAGCCCATAGCACCAGTTTGTACAAACACCACCTGCCAGTGCTAATGGAAAATCCTGTTCTGCTTTTGAGCCTTCACGGTAGGTAGTGATATAATTTGCTACATATTTGACCCCATCTTAAAACACAGGCCAGTTAGCTCAGGGAATAACAGAGGAGTAAGTCAACTTCTACTCCACTTTTCTGGCAGTGTTGAAGACACTCAGAACCTTTGGTTTCTAGTTTTTCAATGTGATGCCAGCTCCTCCAAGTTGAGCCTCACATATCAACAGTGCCTTATATAGTCATAACTTTTTATACAGATTTTTTTACTCTGTTACATTACTATTTTTTTTGCACTTCCTGAGGAAACACTAACAATATCAAAATGGCAATTCAGGCATAATATTCAACAGTAACTTACAAGGCTTCTTCAGCTAGTCAGCCACAGATGCATCAATACTATCAGCCAGGAAAGACAGAGAATCCTGAAAGGTCCTGAAGATGGAGCTTTGTACCTTCTACCAGCAATGCAGAATAAGAGTCCTTCTGTTGTTAGAAAAGATGATTTGCAAAATTAGAAAGAGGAAAGGGGATGGGATGGAGAAACTCTTTGCCAGAAAGGAGATGTTTGCCCAGCAACAAAAAAAATCAAAATTTATGCCTGGTCTGTAAGAAAAGGCTCTGTGGGCACCACTCCTTTATTTGATATTCAAGCCAACTTTTGCTTTTTTGTGATCTGAAAAGACAACACAAGAGCAAACATGTGAAAGAGGAGAAAAAAAACGCAATGAAATCTAACACTACCAAACCAATGAGTTAACCCTAAAGACTATTATACAATTGGGCGTACCTTGAGTTTTAATTGTTTTCATTTCCCTCTATCATCAAATAGGCTGTGCATCCAAACAGCAGTTTATATTTAGGTAAGACAATGCCAGTTTGCTTACTGCAGTGTCCTTAGAGACCAGGAGCATGCTGCAGGAGTCCTCCATGGCACTAGGGGTGAATTCTGCCATTGGCAGAAAAAACACATCACTTTCACCTTTGATAATATAGTCATGAGAAGTAACAACAGACAGGTTTGGCATGTGGGGCATATGATAGAGATTAGGCCTGAAAGATTATGTTACTGTTGAACTGCAGGACTCCCAAAAAAGCTGGGCTTCTTTAATTTTCAGTTCTGCTTTTTAAACATAAGGGTATTTTCAGCCTTAGGTGTTTTTTAGAACTCCTCTCAGTATTGGAAATGGCCACAGAATTTAAGCAAGGGATGTCAGGCAGAGTGTTTGCAGTAACTAGACTCTTCCAGGCATGACCAGGACTCAGATCAGCTCAGCCTGGCCTCCAAGGACGCATCCATTGGGTCCCTGGAGCTTTGCTGTGAGGTGGGTGAAGGAACAGTAATCTAACCAGCTTTACCAGCCCACCTTCCACAGCTGGCAGTGGGTGTTGTATGGTTGCCAAGAGCTGATCAGACTGTCCCAACCTATTTTCTTAATAACAGCATTATCACCCAGAACTATGTGTAAGGGAAGTGGGATATATTAACTGTTGCTTTAGCACTGTGATATTATGGGTTTACAAATCAGACTGATGCACTAGAAGCTGGCTGGTCCCTGTGCAGATGTGGCTTGGATCAGAGCTTGGGAGCTAAATCAGCCTCTGTATTGAACTTCATAGTAGTGATGCTAGAGACATTTTGACAATACCAGTACCTCCACTGCCTGGATGCACATACTGGGTGCAATTCACATGTGGTGGTAGTGCATACAGCTTACATCAAATTCAGTGGGAGTTGTACCTACTTCTGCCATGGCCAGCTTTGACCCTGGGCATCCTAGGGAATAAGCCCAGCCTCTTGTGCATTTCTTTCAAACTCCCTTTTGCCCTCTTCTGCCATTTTGTTGCTCCTGTGTTACCCAAAACCTAGTTTACTAGGGCTCTTGATTGGAGACTTATTACAGCTTATTTCTGTCTGCCTTTCTTTAAAGCCAGCTGAACATACCCAATGCTCTTCCTCTATGGTAAGACCGAAAATACAGACCACCCTCCCAGCTTCTGTGACACT